GATCATGCTACTGATCCTGTAACTCCACACCGTGGGACTTTGCTCCCTCCACTAGGGGTATCATATATAACCCTCAGGGAGCTCTTCAAGTCATGCCTCAAGACCGGTCACCACTATTTGACCTTGGACCAAAGGGGGAGAGGAGAACACCCAGCTCACACCGCCTAAGCTCAATCCTGCAATTTGTGATTCCTCCATCAGGCCTGCCCACCTGTGCATGGCAAAGTTATATAATGCCAGCACTAGAATCCAAATATAATATCGTGTTACCAACTCAGAGTATCCTTCTATGTAATGCCAGTACCATTAATCAAACATAGTATCATGTTGCCAACCCAGGGTCTTTCTATGTAATGCCAGTACCAGTGTAGTATAATCATATATAATTTACCCATAATGCTCAATGAGATGGAGGTGACATCAAAAACAATGATAAAATAATAAAGTTTAATTAAAAGCAAACTAGAGACACATGAGATATATATATATTCGTATGGGAATGATAATGGTGACAGCAGCATTTCTCTAGTGGCCGCCGGCAACTCGCATCAGCTGATCGAGTTTAAATGGACCACTGGCCCCTCACTGAAAGGGGGCGACTCCGTCAGCGTAGGTCCACACTCCTCCACAGGTCAGCCACTCACGCCACTCGCTGTCTTCACCAGGCAGTTGATAACATATACGTGCTGTCCCACAGCGTAATCTACTCCTATGGCTCCTAGAAACCCTCTAGTAAATACCTAGATATAACAATAGGCCTGTCTTACCTAAAATCAAGGGAAATATGGGAGGGAAAAATTATCTACCTTATCAAATCCTGCCCTCAGATTCCTGGACTCCGATGGTCACTGGGGTTCCTCCATCCCTCACGTCGTTTCTTGACGTTCCAGATGACTCGCCAGTCCATAGGCGTCGTGAAGACTCTCGTCATCTCCGTACTCGTTCCGTTAGTGAAGTGCTGGGTGCTACCTTGTCCAGTCATTACTGCATACGTCGTTTCCCCCAAACACTCCTTCACCAAGATCACTCACTCATGGGGTCAGGATGCATCTTTTCCCTTCTGAATTCCCAGTGGGCGTGATCCAATCACAACAGTTCTGCACACCTCAGAGTTTCACTGACATCGAGACACCTCTTGCTCCTGCTATAGACACTCCCTCGACCCCTCCAGGACTATAAGCTCACAGCTCTTGGCCCTCATATAACGCTGGAACCCAGTTTCGCACTTCCCTGAAGTACTGCAGTCCTTGGTAGCCACTATAAACTTGTCAGACTGGATAATCCCACTGAATGAGGCTCCAAGACCTCGGAACTCGAGAGCTCAACCAGCGAAGGTCCACTCTCAACGAAACGTCGCAGATCTCCGAGCGCCTGGCGCCTGGCGCTCTGCAAGTGATGAGCCAGGCCTCCTGGTGACGTCACAGACCCAGGGGGCGGGCTCTGATTGGTCGATCACGTCATGTGACCTGAGCCAGCCAATCCCCAGCCGGCTGGCGTCGCACACAAAATGGCGGATTTGCAGACAAAGGGAGGCCATTTTGTTGTACCTACGGTGCCCCCTCCCTCCCTTACCTACAAATTTAAAATGCAAATATCTCCATAAATCGGTAACCCTTTCGGTAGCCTCATACATCAAAAGATTCCCTACATCACAAGGAATCAGCAGGTAAGCTGATATGACTCTTAAATCTGGCATATGGAAGAAATAGGAGAGAGCACCGTAACACCCCTGTACGCAAAGTCGAGACAACTGGCTGCAACCGCCGACCCAATGCAACACAGGCCCAATCAGGCCCTGGAACATTGACAAGGTAGCGAGCGACCAGGACCCTGTTCGACCTCCAAAAACCCCGTGCCAGAATGTCAGCTCAAGACATTCTAATAATTCATGTTACCAAAGAATTCAGCCAGCACAGCAAACTTATGAATGTCGTGGGCACAAGGACAGACTGCATGCTGGCTGGACCTAGTAACCCTGCGGACGACCTGGGAGACCCGAACCCTGGAACAGGGAAGAAGGGAAGAACGGAAACCAGGTCAACCCAAAGTGCGTCCCAAGTCACATAGGCTTTGGCGCACAAAAACAGGGGAGGAACAGCAACCGGACAACACATGACGCACCCCCGGCCTGACCAACCAAACATGAACAACTCAAGGACCCCTCTGGAAAGCAGCAGTCTCATTCTTCGCCAGAAAAGGAGACGGCTGCAATCGACCAAACTTATCACCAGGACCAAAAAATCAGAAACCCCTGCGCCGGAGGAGAGCATGAAGCTCCCCGACCCGACCCCCAGAGGCCAGTGCCAACACGAAAAGAGCCTTGGAGAAACCACAGGGGCCAATACAAACCGAGGGGAAGAAATAAAAGAACACCCGGTCCAAAGACCAGGATGGCTCAGGCGGCACACGAGCAGGCCAGAGGTGAAACAACGCATGAGACAGCTTGCGAAAAGGTGCAGAAGTAACATCAATGCTGAATGCAATCAGCAGCAGCTCCACCAGCGCTGCACAATACGAGACGATAGTATTCAGCATAGGATGATGGTCCTGAAACAATCACAAAAGAAGGGACAAGACAACCCTATCAGAAACCGAAGTCAACCTATGACGGGACAAAAAGAAATGGAAGGACCGCCAGGAAACTTCATACTGGCACCAAGACAAAGCATGCAGGTGGGACACCATCAATGTTGCCACCTGCTCACCATACAATTGGTGATAGACTCAAGACAGAAAGACCAAACGCAAAAACTCGAAAAGACTGAACCAGCCAGGTTGAGGGTGAGACCTGTAACAGAACAGTCCGATCTACTGAAAAAGCCAGAGCCGCGAGAAAACTCCAGAGTTCGGACACCGAGTAAGCAGCACCTGAAACTAAGGCTGGGTTGGCCACCAAGGAGCTAAGAGGATTACTCTCCCTTGGCAAGTCTCCAAGTTAGCAAAGACAGGGAGCAACCGCTGAACTGCGGGGAGGAGGTGCAGTAACCCCACCTCGACCAGTCCAGCCGCAAGGCATCAACCCCAACAGCTTCGCAATCGGGAAGAGGCACCACGTATAACGGGAGACGCCTCGAACATGCTAACGTGAAGAGGTCCACCTCCGGGAGCCCATATATCCGGCAGAGCCAACTGAATGAGTCGGCATCGACCGTCCATTCCGTGGACAGGGGGATGAACGTTTGGAGTTAGACAGCTGCTATGGGCTGCTTCCTAAGGGGGGGGGTGTAACAAAAAGGAGGCATGGTCGAGGACCGAGCCACGGGGACGCTAAGCCCCGAAATCATCTCAAGAAGATGTACCATGACAGACCGTCTGCTAGGACGTTGAAGACCCCCCTGAAGACCTGGTGAACGACAGACATAGAATGCTTCCAACAGCACAGCAGTTTTTATAGGTCATTGCTCTTCGTGCCTCTCTGAGGTGGGCAGGTTCTGGTTCGTGGTCCCCGATAGGCCTAAGAACTCCATTCACATGAGTGATGCCAAAGTCTAATATATCCATATCAGCCTGGATAGCTACGGAGAGCCGAAAGGGTCCCCCCCCCCCCACTCCCAGAAAAGTTAATTGACAGTTGAGAGGCTAGCCGAAAGAGCAGAGCTCAACCCCCCACAAGCACAACTCGGTGAATACCTAGTATGCACTGTTCTCTCAGTACCTTTATAGTGTACCATATAACATCGCCCAGCATACACTGTTCTCTCAGTACCTTTATGGTGCTCCACAGTACACGGTCCAGCATACACTGTTCTCTCAGTACCTTTATGGTGCTCCACAATACACGGTCCAGCATACACTGTTCTCTCAGTACCTTTATGGTGCTCCACAGTACACGGTCCAGCATACACTGTTCTCTCAGTACCTTTATGGTGCTCCACAGTACACGGTCCATCATACACTGTTCTCTCAGTACCTTTATGGTGCTCCACAGTACACGGTCCAGCATACACTGTTCTCTCAGTACCTTTATGGTGCTCCACAGTACACGGTCCAGCATACACTGTTCTCTCAGTACCTTTATGGTGCTCCACAGTACACGGTCCAGCATACACTGTTCTCTCAGTACCTTTATGGTGCTCCACAGTACACGGTCCAGCATACACTGTTCTCTCAGTACCTTTATGGTGCTCCGCAGTACACGGCCCAGTTAAACTTCTCTCAGTTTAACTCATGATAAAGACAGTTTATGAATTTAACAACCACTATAAAAGCTGTTCTTGAGATGTACTACTATGATAATGGAGGCTGTTCAAAAAATTTACTACGATATGGTAACTGTTCGTAACATCACCTGCCATAATTTAGGCTTTTCCTAAGATTCGCTACCATGTTGGATGTTGTTTAATAATATTGGCTACCATAATGTAGGCTGTTCCTAAGCCTGAAATTGTTGAACTGAGGGAGGTTAGGTATATACTATCCAGTAAGTAACATCATATATTGTAAACAATAAATGTCAGCAACGCTGAACCAGCAGCAGCATAAGGGTTACACTAAATGTCAGCTACACTGAGGCTGCAGCAGCATAATGGTTAACAATAAATGTCACCTACACTGAGGCTACAGCAGCATAGGGATTAATAATAAATGTCAGCTACACTGGGGCTGCAGAAGCATATGGATTAACAATGTCAGCTACACTGAGGCTGCAGTAGCTTAAGTTTTAACAATAAATGTCAGCTACACTGGGGCTGCAGCAACATAAGGGTTAACAATAAATGTCACCGACACTGAGACTGCAGCAGCATAAGGGTTAACAATGTCAACTATACTGAGGCTGCAGCTTCATAGGGGTTAACAATAAATGTCAGTTACACTGAGGCTGCAGCAGCATAATGGATAACAATGTCAACTATACTGTCCAGCCGTAGCGTAAATAAACAATGCTTCACTAACTAATTGTTATCTTTCAACGTTTGTCTAGACAAATTTTCCTTGCATTTCTTTAGTAAAGCACAGTCGATAACTAAAAGACTCATTAAGAAATGCAAAGATATACTTACATGTTCATAGTAGGCTGTTTCACCCAAAAACCAAATCGTTCGTCTGTCGTTTTCGTCCAGTGTTTCACTGTAAACAAATAATTGTGAATATAAAGAATTCCTCTTCGTCAGAAAATCATGAGTAGTTTTCTCTTCCACAAAAAATTGACATTCAAAACACTAAAGCATTGTTACTGATTTTTTTAAGTAATTTTTCAAATAGTATGCAGTACTGTTTTGTGATTAAAGTGAACAGCTATTGGTACTTAACTTGTACTTATTTGTCATAAATCTAATTTTCTTTATTTGTCAGCATAAGAAATTTTAAATTTTGATAATCATAACATTTAATTACAGCCAAATAAGGAATATAAAATACTAACTTTTTACCTGGTTGAGAGCAAAGTCAAGAGTTATATAAACAGTCGCCATGCCTCCCAATGATGCTGCATTCAAGTTATGATTCTCCATGTGTTCCAAAATGTTGCCAATGCTAATAATCTGAGGAAAAAGAAAGTCATTGAAGCGCAGGATTTTTTTTAAATTTAAGGTTTTATCTGTCCAAGATAATGATGCCTGTTTTTTTTTTTAGATTTACTCTAACTTTTTTATATTGTAGATTTGTTTGTTTTTTGTCAGCGTAAAAAAACCTTAATGTTGATTATCATGTAAATTTAACTTCAACCAAATATGGAATATAAAATACTAGCTTCTTCCCTGGCGGAGAGCTGAGGACAATATTGTAATACCCAACTTATTATAACACTTAACATAGAAAAGACCTACTACATCCTATTTGGAAGCAAATCTACAAATGCAATTCAGCTTCAGATAGACAATGTAAACATTAGCAATAAAAATGATGGAAAGTTATTTGGCATATTCCTAGACAAGAGACTCAACTTCAGTACCCACATACAACACATAACTAAGAAAGTCTTACATAAAGTAAGAAAGGTATACTCTCCAAAATCAGATATTATGTACCTAACTCTGCTCTCATCTCTCTATATTATGCACTAATCTATCCCTATCTCAACTATGGTATCTGTGCATGGGGTTCAACCACTGCAAACCACCTCAAGTCCATCATCACCCAGCAAAAATCTGCTATCAGAATAATATCAAATTCTGCTTTCAGACAACACACAGCCCCCTTGTTTAACTCCCTAAACATGCTAAACATAATCTCACTCCATAAATTCTCTTGTGTCAACTACATTTACAAAACCCTGTTCTTAAATGCAAATCCTTGTCTGAAACTCTTCCTGGACAGATGTAATAGGACCCATTATCACCACACCTGAAATAAATATCTCTTTGATATCCCCAGAGTTAAACTTAATCTGTGTAAACACTCTATTCAAATAAAGGGACCCAGTTTATGGAACTCACTCCCTACTGAATTGAAAAGCTGTCCAACTTTTACATCATTCAAAATCAATACTAAAAAGTACCTAATTTCATCTTCATAGTTTTTCACTTTTTGCCTTAAAATTGCACTGTATCTATTGCTACCCAATCTCCCAACCTTTATGTTCCCAATTTGAACATCTTTACCATTGTGATCATTGCTATCTTCAGTATGTGCTGCCAATCTGCTGTATGGTGTTTATAAATCTTGTTTATCTGTATCTTTTTGCTACCCAGTCTCCCAATCTTTATGTACCCAATCTGAACATCTTTACCATTGTGATCATTGCTGTCTTATATGTGCTGTCAATTTGCTGTATGGTGTCTATTAATCTTGTTTTAAATTACTAATCAAGCTGTCAATGTAATCAATTAGAGCTTTAATATAACAATGTGCTTTAATATACTTACTAAGCTCTCTCATCTCATTTTTCTCTTGCAATGTATCTTTATCATTTGTCAATTCTGATAGAAATTACCTACTTAAAATTATCTGCTAGATTAAGGACTTGCCCGAAACGCTGCGCGTACTAGTGGCTTTACAAGAATGTAAATACTGTACTATCCAATGTATTCTCACAAACCCAATGTACCTTCTTGTATATATATATATATATATATATATATATATATATATATATATATATATATATATATATATATATATATATATATATATATATATATATATATATATATATATATATATATATATATATATATATATATATATATATATATATATATATATATATATATATATATATATATATAAAAATAAATAAATAAATAAATAAATAAATAAATAAATAAATAAATATTACGTGCCCCCCCCACCATGGCAAAGAACAGTAGACCAGCTAGTTTATGTTATACATTATTGTGTGATCCATCCCTAACATTCCCTTTATTTTGAGGATTTGTAAGGCATATCATACCAACCTCTCACTCAATGCCACCATAATAATCTAAAGATATTCAAGAAAAATCTTGAGACAATATTGATAGATGAACATTATGAAAACTGTTGTAGAGAAATGTTAATATTTTTGCTAGTGGCTATACGGTAGTTAGTTTGACAGCGATGTCCAGCCTCTTATGGACTTTTTGCACATTAGTTAACTTAAATTTGTTCATTTAATGCCTTATGCATAATGACTCAATACTGGTGGTAGTAAACGGACAATGAATCCATCCTGGTGGGAGTAGAGGTACAGTTACTAAGGAATTATTAAACCATCCTTGTGGTAGTAAAGGCACAGTTACTAATGAACAATAAAAGCATCCAGGTAGGACTAAAGGAACAGTTACTAAGGAACAATGAAACCATCCTGGTGGCAATAAAGGAACAGTTACTAAGGAACAATGAAACCATCCTAGTGGTAATTAAGGAACAGTTACTAAGGAACAATGGAACCATCCAGGTGGTAGAAAAGGAACAGTTACTAAGGAACAATGAAAACATCCAGGTGGTAGAAAAGGAACAGTTACTAAGGTACAATGAAACCATCCAGGTGGTACAAAAGGAACAGTTACTAAGGAACAATGAAACCATCCTAGTGAAAGTAAAGGTATATTTACCAGGGAACAATGAAACCATCCTAGTGACAGTAAAGGTACATTTACCAAGGAACAATGAAATCATCCTGATGGCAGTAAAGGCAGTTACTAAAGGAACAATGAATCCATTTTGGTGGCTGTAAAGGAACAGTACGGTACAATGAAACCATCCTGGTGGTAGTAAAGGAAAAGTTTCTAAGGAACAATGAATGCATCCTGGTGGTAGTAAAATTACTAAGGAACAATGAAACCATCCTGGTGGTAGTAAAGGAACAGTTACTAAGGAACAATGAATCCATCCTGGTGGTAGTAAAGGAACAGTTACTAAGGAACAATGAAACCATCCTAGTGGCAGTAAAGGCACAGTTACTAATGAATAATG